AAAAAGAAATAAACAAAGGAAAACAAATACTAGCGTCATCTTCAGGTATTTAACCAAACTACATATTATATTCTTCAATAAAATAATAAATATTAAAGAGACATATAGAAAATTATGTTCCATAAATCTTGAGGGTGTAGGTGTGGGTGTGGGTGTGGGTGTGAGTGAGAGTGTGAGAGTTTGTATATTTATCTTCTCTGCATCAACACCCTCAAGATTTATTATTCTAAAAGTTTTCAATAAAATCTAATGTATCTTGAAGTTTAGTTGATAGATCTCTGAAGTAATAAAAAAGAATTTAGAAATATTTAGTTAATTATATTTTCATACATAATACATTGATATTCTTTATAATGATGTACAGTATTTCCACATTGATAATATAATTGAATGGCTTCAACGAAATTCTCATGCTAAATAAAATCAAATTTGGGTGTGGGTGTGAATATTAAGTTACGCATCCACACCCTAAAAGAAAATGCAGCATTTTCGTTTTGTTTATTTATATTTTATATTTACACTTTTGCTCTACTTTCAAGTTATTCATATAAATATTGATATATGAACAGGCGTTTATTCAAACTTGAGTATTTTATATATTGATATTGATATTGATGTTATGTATCGAATTACGATATTATATTATTATTCTAATATTTTATTTTATTCTATTTTAATCTGTTATAAACTACAACAGGTATCGTCAGATGCTAGTTATATTTATATTTCTTTTTCTTACTATTATACTGATGATGGCCGTATTAAACACTAAGAAAAGGTCGAAAATTCTACTAAAATATAAAAAATTATAAGTGAATAAAACGAAAAAGCCGCATTCTCTTTTATTCTGACATAAATATACACTTTTAATTTCCTTTCAAGTTATTCATATAAGTATTGATATAAAGAGGAGCCTAGTAATTACGATCGAGCCATTCAAAAATAAATACACTACCTAGCAGGCAGACGACAAGCCAACTGCGACGTACAGGTATATTTACTTTCGACAAGCATTCGAATTATTCAAGTTCGATCTACTTAAAAATAACTAGTAATACGAGTAAGTGTTTCTGATCTATTTTTCTAAAGAAATAAGACAAAATAATGACGTCGTCTTTCTTCAATACTCTCGCGATCGACTTATAATGATGTTGTATCAGTAAAAAAGAAAAAAATCGGTATATTTATAGACTTTTGCTAAGAGAAGGAGTATGTATGTGTTATTACAAAGATTTGATTTGATTTTGTTAACTAATGTCCAATAGTCTACACTTCGGTGGGTAATCAATAAAATCATTTAACTTTTACTTTTTGAAGTAAAGTGTACGAGTGATTATGTATGAGAAATGAATGTAGTATTTATTCTTAAACCACATCCATCTTGAGGATGTGGGTGTGAGAGTGTGATGGATATAATACCCATACTACACTCACCCGCATACTGGTAATTAGATACTTGTGTGCAAGGGTTAGCGTCTCAGTGTAAGTGTGTACGAGTTCTGAGGGTGTGGGTGTGAGTCAAGAAAAGATACACATACACACCTTAAACACTTCAACACTCCTTTTAGTTCATGTATCACAAAAATTTCTATTATTATACAACATTATGTTTATGAACTTAAGCAGGATTATTCTAGATCTTTTTCTGCCCGTTACGATTTAGAAGAAGATTCATTTTGACAAAGATATATTAGATACAAAACTAAATTGAAATGATCCGAATTAAAAATCAAATCAGATTTTAACGAACAAACATTTGATCTTCCTATAAAACTTGATAAAATAATTATATTTGAGCTTTGTGTTCAATTTATTTGTTTCTATTTCAGATAAAATAAGATTACTGATTCTTTCATCGTTCTGATCATTATCTTCTATTTATTTTCAGCATCTGGTTAACATATTACTTCATTTATTTTCGTAAGTATTGTCATTGAGATAACTGAGAGAATGGAAAAAGCATAAAAAGAGAAATAAATTATTGAAAAGAACCATTTTCTTCTATTTTCTTTCCTCATCTAAGGTATTTTATCACTTAAGAAGTCACTATCGTTCAATATTTAAGTTGTGGGTGTGGGATGTGCGCTAAGAGACGATAGGCGTTCACAGTGCACCCGCTACCATACCTATTGTTAGCTCTCATATATACAGATCTGTAGATAAACAGATGTGACCGATGTTATGTGACAAAACAAAGAAAAAGATGTCCTTCACTGGACTAGAATCAAGTATCTTCCGCTATCCAGGGAGATGTCAGAACGAGCTGGCCTGGGAGAAACACCTAATCTTCGTTTCGTGTCAGCATGCATCCGCACTGACGCTAACATCTACCCATTCCGCACCCCCACCCTATCAATGTGTTATTTTCGGTCCTACTTATCTTATTGGGCATACGTAGCTTCTTACAGATTTGCTGATATGACTTTCTCCTTTCTTTCCTTTTTTATTCATCTGACTATTGTTACTATTGATTCTTGACAACAAGCGACAGAGATATAACTAACTTTTTTAACGCACCAAAGGCAGTTGTTTTCTCATAGACACAATTCATGGCGAGCACGACACTATCACCACTCATCATCGTTGTATCCGGTGGTGGACCGGTTGGACTCACATTTTCGCTTAATATTGCCGCGATGATGGGTAAACATGTCAAAATTATTATTTATGAAGGTCGATGGTTTGTTGATGAACATGGTATTACTCGTTGGCAAGGTGAAGAGCAAGGCAACATTCGTCGTGATCAAGTTGTTACTTTACAAGACCATGTTATTGAACAAATGCCTACTTTTATTCAAGAAGGTCTGTTCCAAAATATAAACGAACGTGTATGGCCAACATCAAGAAATACTCCAATAAGAGAAGTTGAAGATCGACTTCTTGATCTAATTCAACCGTTTGTTCAAAATGGTCAAGTGGAATTAATTCCTGAACAATTAAATGAACAATCTAGACATTTGATCGAAGGTAAATAGACGTTGTTTTTTCTTGTTGTTTTAAAGATGTATTCAATTAGAATTTTGTATAGGTGATTTTGATGTATTAGTGGGTGCCGATGGATCGAATTCATTTGTTCCTCGTTACTATAATATTCAAATGATCAGCGAAGGCATCGAATATGCGTGTGGTGTAGCATATAATATACCTGAAGATGTGCCATCATTAGATGAACCTCTCCATCAAGCACTTAATTGTATATTAACGATCTCACAAACACGTTATTTAGTAAACTCGTCAGCGAGCCGTCGAGGTTATCTCAATATTCGTTTAATTCAAAATGAATATGAAGAGTTACGTGAATGTCTGCAACCATTTCAAAATCGTAATGCATCTTTAAATTTATTAGATTATGACAAATGTCCATGTTCACCTGTATGGTCAATTGTTCGGCAAGGATTGGACTTTTTTAAAATATCTGCAAAGTATGTTATTCGTGTTGTACCAATCGAGATTAATGTTCGACATGCATCAATTGTTGTTCGAGAACTTCGTTTTGAAATTAAAAAAACACAATCAACAACATCGACAACAGACAATGTGAGTGGCAGTCAGAAGAAACAATTTAAGACAATGTTAGCATGTCTTGCTGGTGATGCGGCAATGAATGTACATTTCTGGCCTGGTCGAGGAATGAACAGTGGAATGAAAGCAGCTATGGCACTTGCTCGAAATATCCTTCGTACGTGTAAATCTACAATATCACCTTATTCAGTCGAAGTTCGTACTCCACTTCGATTCCTCGATTTTCTCGACTATGAAGGTTTCATGGCTCGTCTTAGAGCACGTGAGCAACAAGGTCGTTCATTACGTATTCTTATGGATCCGATCGATGCAAGTGTTGGAGAAGCTTATACCTATCCTCATTTACAACCATGTTATAAAACATATACAAAGAACTTGTATGCAAAGTTGAAAGAAACAAGATTACGTCTGGATCAACGATCTGATTGGCCTCATCAAACAAGATCAGTAACCGATGAAGAATTACAATCTGCATATAAACGAATTAATCCTAATGCTGTCGCTCAACTTTCATTAGCTAATCCATGGCCAACACGAGAAATGAGTGGTACTGACGTTCTTGTCGAAGATACTTTTCCATTCAATCAGCAATTATTTTTACCTAAACCAACAATAGGAAAAGTCACTTCAGATCGTCCAGCAAGCATTATCATTCAACATCGCTTTGTCATTTTATGCATCACTGGTGACAAGATGAGTAAAAATACAAAGAAAATTATTGATTCAATTCAGACTTCTCCTAAATTCACCAATTCATCAACAACAGCAACAGTGACAACAAATCAGCCGCAGAATTCACCCATGGGAAGTTTTCACGAACTATATATAGTTCGTACTGTTAGAGAAGCTCAAAAGTGGATAGCGGAAAATCGTCAACGTTTAGAAACGCATGACACTCTCTTCAAAGTGATTACTGCATGGTCGCTTAACGAAGGAAAAACTGCAGTAGATGTAATTCATGCAGTTCGTGCTGGTGCATCACATGTTCCCGTATTAATTTTTACGGATAAACGTGAAGAAGCACAACAAGCACTTGCATTTCCAAATGTTATTGCTACTTATCAAGTATATGAGTTGTATGAATTTGTCGGCATTAATCAAGAGACACAGTGGAATCCAGGCTGCCCTGTATCACCTAAGGGGATCTCCCTATATACTTCAGGTATGTGGTTGATTGGAATAGTATGAGAACGCTGAAAGGTAGAACTAGTAGCGTAGCTAGGATTTCGGGTGTCGGTGAGGAAGAGATTCACCCTCATCCACACTCACACCCTTTTTGATTTTGTTTTTAGAATTCGAAGGAAAATCATCAATTCATTTTATTTTCTTTCAATAAAAAGTAATTTTCGTAGAAAAAAGTTGTTTTTGACATTTCAGAATTGAAATTGAACTTTGAAAATCTTTCAAACTTTCACAAAAGATTTTCGAAAACAATATTCATTTCTTATTTTAATTTTAAAACTAAAACATTTTTTCTTTTCAAAATCAAAACGAAGCCTTTAATTCTTACAAAGAAAAAAATATTTCTGAACCAAAATGTTTCTTTCTTTGAGAAATTTTTGAATTTAAAAAGCGGAAACCTCTAGTTTTCTTTTAATTTTAATTTCTCAAATCCAATTTTTTTCCTTTTCTTTTTTCCTTTTTCGTCAAAAATCAACATTTCCACAAATTCATTTCAATAACATTCTCCTTTTTTTCACATTTTTAGAGCAAAACAAAACAAAATCTAACACATTCAGACAAAATGGAATTATTTGTGCAGGAGGAAATGGATATGGAAATCAATTAAATCAACTCTCTTATCCTCAAGGAATCTTTATAGATCATCACAACAATATTTTCATTGCTGATTATTCGAATCATCGTATTGTTGAGTGGAAATGTCATTCGAACAAAGGACAAATCATTGCTGGAGGAAATGGTCAAGGAGACGGAAATGAACAATTGAATCATCCAACAGATGCTCTTGTTGATAAACAAAACAATGCTTTGATCATTTCTGATCGAGAAAATAGACGAGTAATCCGATGTTTTCGTGAAAATGAAGCAGAACCACAAATCCTCATTTCTGATATCGATTGTTTTGGTCTGTCAATGGATAAAAATGGATCTATTTATGTTTCTGATTCGAAGAATAATGAAGTGAGACGATGGAAGGAAGGAGACGAAAGAGGAACAATTGTTGTAGGTGGAAATGGACAAGGAGATCATCGCAATCAACTCAATAACCCTAGTTTCATCTTTGTTGGTAAAGATGATTCTCTTTATGTATCAGATACTTTTAATCATCGCGTGATGAAATGGACAAAAAATGCAAACGAAGGAATTGTTGTTGCTGGTGGAAATGGTAAAGGAAATAGTCTCCAACAATTGTCTCTTCCACAAGGAATGATGGTTGATCATTTGGGTCAAATCTATGTAACAGATTATGACAACCATCGAGTGATGCGTTGGTGTGAAGGAAATGCAGAAGGTGAAATTGTTGTTGGTGGAAATGGAAGAGGAGAAGAATTAAATCAATTGAATTATCCTAGTGGTTTATCATTTGATGATGAAGGGAATCTTTATGTTGCTGATAGCGACAATCATCGAATACTAAAATATGAAAAATGTCTTGATTAAAAGGTTTTGTTTTTGATCAAATGAATTTTGTGAAAATGAAAAAAGCGAACTTTGAAATAATAATCAACAACAACTTCTGATGAAAAAATAAAAATAATTTTAAAGAAAAAATTGTTTTTTGAATATTTTTATTTAAATTTCAATAAAATCTTTTTTCAAATTTTTATTTTCTTCTTTTTTTTTTGCAATTAAATAAATTTGTTCATCAAAATATTTTTCACTCAGAATCGATTTCACATTTTCATCTTCACATCGTCATCAATTGATGTTTCTTTCTGTTTTCTTTGATTCGATTCATTTGTATCATTTTTATTACAGATTTTTCAACGAAAACAAAACGACCTCAAAAGAATTTTGTAAAATAAAATAAAATTGCAATCGAAATAAATTCATTCCAATTATTGGACTCCAAGAAGAAAAAGAAATAATTCGAACAAATCTGTTCTTTAAAAATTGATCAGTTTGATTAAATAAATCTCTTCTGTTTGAGTTTGAAGATCTAAAGAGAAAATCTTCATTTATTCTCAAACATTTGTTAGTAACGAAAGCGATTTTTCGTCATATTTTTCATGTGAAATGTGAAAAGATCAAACATTTTATTCAACATTTATGACAAATTTGTTTTTCTCCTCTAATCAATTCTTTTTTCCTCATTGACCAACAACAAAAAACAAATAATTCGATAACATTTTTTTCTTTTTTAAGAGAAACAAAATGAAGAAAAGAAGATAATTTGATTATTGAAAATGTTGATTTCAATTATTTTATTGATTTGAAATAAAATAAATAAATTATTTTTATTCAAAAGACAAAAAAATGATATACGAAACAATTATTTGATGATGTTTTGAAAATGTGTTTGATGATTTCTCTGTCAATTATCAGCCGATGCACAGATAAATATTTTAAATAATTCTTTATCGTTCGTTTATCTAAGAAGATCATCGATTGTTTTTCTAAGATTTATTTGAAAATGATGAAAATTTTGAAACGTTGAAAGAACTGTTCGTATCTATAAGTGTGAAAAATGATTAAATGAAGAGAAAATCTTTCCATTTCTTTTGTTTTTCACATTGTGAAATACAAAAAGATTTCAATTCGAAGATAAACAAAATGTTATTGAAAATTTGGAAATGTTAAACTATTGATAATAAAATGAAAAATAAATTTGATAAACTGAAGACGTGATCGATTGTTGATGTTGTTAATAAGATAGTTTATAGAAAATCATGCGATGTTATTCGTCTCATATATAAAGAGATGTGTATCAAAATATTCGTGGAATAAAATCGATAGAGATGAAACTCTCTTCTTTTGTCTTTTAATGATTAGTTGTAATTGAAATGAGATTATTTTTATTTTCATTTAAATGTAAAGAAAATAAGTCAAAAGATATTTCTGTGTAAATAATATTTTCTTTTTTCTTTCTGACACTTTAAATATATTTTATAATTATTTGTGTTTGTGGTTTGATCATTTATGCTAAGAATCAAATTTTAGACTCGATGCAATTGAAATTTCATTTACGAAGAACATCTTAATTCTCTCATATTTAAATTTCTTAATCCGAATGATGTTTTTCTATTTAATAATTGAATTATAATGAAATAAAAGATCAATTTCATGAAGGAAAACATTGATTTGTGCGTGGATATGAGAGGATCTTCTCACCCATATTCTCAAGATGGAAATACCAATGAAGAATAAAAAATGCAAATAATACTAATAGAAACGACCTAAACTCATTTTATAAATAAATAATATTTTGTTTCATTGACAAACTTTAACTTAATGTTAACGTTGATGTATAGAATATTAGAGTCATATGAATCAAAAATTAAAGACATCACAATATAAATCATGTCTATATAACTGAATCTTTCTACACCCATATATATTCTAAAAGTGATGGAAGCACATAATCATACTGATTGATCGAAATGTTTTTCTAAATATTAATAAACACCATATCGTTTCTCTCTTCTTCGATACTTGTAGATATATTCAACTTAATAAATTCATCTCATAAAATTTGTTTTTAGATAAAAGTATAAAAAAGACAATATTTTCAAATACAATATTTAACAGTATTTCATTAAATTATCTTGGCATAATTAATCAGTTGTCAAGTAAATCGAATTTGTTTATAGGGATTTTCAGAAAAATAAGTTTAATAATTGTATTTGTAATAAAATATTTCTTTTACGGGTGAATTCTTAGGATTTTTCTCAATAATATCGAAACGAAAAAAAAGGTTTTATTGTGCTCTTATTGAATTTGATGAAAGAATATCGAAACTTGAAAAACGATGAAAATAAAAATAAAAATGTAATTTATTAATAATTGTTAATCAATTAAATTTAATAAACATCAACAAATTATCTTGAGGATGTTGGTGTGGACGCGATGAATATTGGTAATTGCCACATTTACACTCACACCCATACTCATGATTTATCTGGTATGGCATCTGTTGGTTCATGGAATAAAAATTCACATTTAGTTATACGAGTTAGGTTAGTTATTTATAAATATTTGATTGATTGATTTGAAATCTTTTGTTTGTTTTATTTTAGTTCGGGTCTTAGTGCTCATAGTCTTGTGGATATTTTAAATGATTTTGTTGTTATGGAAATAAATGCAACAACAAGTACAAATATTATTGTTGGTTATACAACTGATACACTAATTAATGTTTGTATGCAAATGAGTATTCAACCAACGGAGATCTAGTGAGTAGAATTGAATAATTAGTTATATTCTAGTGATTTAATTTATTTTCTTTTTTAGATAGTTGTATACGTCGTTTGTTTGGTCATGATTAGACATTTACACAAAAGAATAATGCTATGTGTCGACAATTTTATGTACTTTAATAATACTGATCTTTTTTTTCTTCTTAAAAAAATAAAGATTAAATCTAATATCATAGAATAAAAAAATTATGTTTTAAATAATTTCATAAAAATTATATTGTTAAAAAATAAAGAGTGATTAAATAAAACAATGGATAATATTATAATTTAGAGGATGATGGAGGTGTTTGAAGGATGTGAATGAGAGGTAAATATAATACCCCCACCTACACCTAGGCATGGGCGATACCACATCGGAATCGGTACCGAAATCGAGAATCGGCAAAACTGATCTCGATCCCGATGCTTACAAAATTTAAACTATACGAGTCCGATACGATACTTAAAAAGTCAGATCTTATTTCGATCCGATTTCGATCTCAAGATACAAAAGTTTTGGTATCGGTGCCGTTTCGGATTATATTGTTTTAAAAAATAAAATCTTAAATTTAATTGTTCCGGATTTGAATTATTTCAAAGCATCACAGAAATAATTAAAAAAAACATGGGCCTATCAATTAACAATAACAATTAAATGTTTTCCATGTAAACGAAAAGAACGAGTAGAACTCATATCATACAAAATTCCGAGAATTTTATCATAGGTGATTCCAATACCGATCCTTAAAATCGATTTTCACGATTCCGATGCGATTCTTAAAAGATTTATTATCAATTCCAGTCTGGTTTCCAACATACAAAAACTAAATTTTTAGATTCTAATACGATACTAACGATTAAAAAACTCTGAACGATTCAGTTCCCAAATCCAAAACATTTGATTTTGCCCATGCCTACCTACACCCGTTAGAAGAAGTTTTTGTGAATTCAGACTATTTAGGATGTGGCTGTAAATAAGGTTGTTAGTTATTAGAACATTCACAACCACAGCCACATCATACCCACACCCACGCAACATCCACACCCGATTTATCTTACTCAAGGTGCTGTTTCACCAGCTTGAAGTCTGTTTAAAAAAAGCGTCATATATGCTAGTACCTATATCGTTCAGTTTACAATATAAATACAAATTATGTTGAAACGTTTCGATTTTTAAATATATGTTCATGACCAAAACATATTTTCTTCTTCTTCTGTTGGCTCTGGTTCTTTATTATCAAATCTTCCTCGATGTTGTGGCATTTACCTTGGCTCATGATTATCAAATCTTCCCGGATTTCGTGGCGATTGTCTTGGCTCGTGGTTACCAAATCTGCCTAGATGCTGTGGCGTTTGTCTTGGCTCATG